CTTGAGATCAGAGGAGATCAAAGGCAGCCTCCCATCATAACTAAGATCAAAGATGTGGCGGGCGAGAATTAAGAGGGTGCTGAATCTCCTAATTGGCAGGGCAGGGGGGCCTAGCGGGATCACGGCTGCCCATAGGCCCTACCCCGTGACAGGAATTAATTTTTATTTTAAATTATTAATGTATCTTGATGGCACTATTATTTCATGTTAGCATTTTCAAATCAATTACATGATAGTAATTTAATTTCTGGTTGTGTGTAAGGCCTGAGGTACTCTTGGAATAACCATCACGGAAGCACTAGAAGTGAATTGACTTGACTAGGGGCACTTTCTGACACAATGGCAGAGCTCAGAAATGAATCCAGAGACATCTGGCTCCTAGAGACCTCCTCTTATTTCTGTCCCTCCATGCCAGCCTGTGACTATGTCTCTAAGTTACTGAACCTGGTGGGTTTCATACTGGCCTAATACCAGTTACTTTGCATCTTGACAGCTTGTTCTGTAGATGACTTCACCAGCTGCTTCCTTCTCTGCACAGTACTTACCCAGGGATCCTTTCATTGAGCTCTGAATTATAGAGGTGGCCTAAGTTCAAACCTGCTTAGTGAGAGGGACCTAAAATGCAGGGCCTCTGGCTCTCTGTGTGAATGCCCTACTTGCTCAGCTACTAGAGAAAAGGATGGCATGTCTCTCCCCTGAACAATCAGCTTAAGTGTCCGAATCGGAACTGAATCTTCAGATTCAAATTTGGCCGAATCAAATCAGGACAGTGATCTGAATTAGTGAATTGAATCGCTGTCCCCTGAATCAGGCCGAATCTGAATCAAATACTGCCCACTTCGCACACCCCTACTAACTACCTCCTCCAAATTATCTTAACTACTGGCATGGCCTGCAGCACTGCTTTTACAGCCTCCCTCTTCCCTTGGTCCCTCCAGCTCCATGGCTGGGCCCTCTTATCACCCTGCTTCTGGCTGGGAAAGAATTTCCCACCCTAGCTCCCAGTTGCCCCATCGAGGGTGCCTCTACTCACCCTGCTTCTGGCTGAGTAAAAATTCCCTCCCTAGTTCCTTGTTGCCCCATGGTTAGGGCCTCTTAGCACCCTGAATTGGCTGGGGAAAAATTTTCCTTCCTCCATCCCTAGCTGAGACATGGCCAGTAACCAGGAAGGAAGATTCCATCCCTCCCTCCCTGGGTCCGTGTTGCCCCATGGCTGGGGCCTCTTAGCAGTCTGCTTCTTGGTGGGGAAAAATTCCTTCCCCTCCCATTTTGTGGCCAGCAACAATTCGAAAATTACAATAGGTAAGGGAGGGAGGTGTCCTGATAAGCATGCAGGTTGGGGACTCTTAGCACCCTGCTTCTTGTTGTGGAAGAATTTCTTCCATTCCTCCCTAGGTTTTGTGGCCAGCAACAATTCAAAAACTAGTGTGTGAAGGAGGGAGGGAAAAATTCTTTCTCTAGCTCCGTGTTGCCCCATGGCTGGAAATTAGGGAGAACTTGTTAAGGGGTAGGTAGCACAACTCTTACTCTTGAAGGGAATGTTAGGATGCACACATTACATATATACATGCACATACTTGCCAATCAAATGACATCTGTGAATCAAAACTCTTTCCCCTCCAAACTAGTTTACAATGTTTGTAATATGTTTATTTAGAAGCAAATGTACACGGGCATGTTAAATATCTAATATTAAATCCCTAATTATTATTATTATTATTATTATTATTATTATTATTCACCACTTGACTATCAATGATATTGTTTAGTAAAATACTAGTGTCTATACAGTTTTACCTTTATTGTGATTTCCCAATCAAAATAGATTGCATTTCAATTTATTGTGAAAAACCAAAGAACACAAAGAAAAATTGCTGACTTGTACTTGCTCCTGCTTGGTTTCAGGGCCAGGGCCTGGACATGCCTGCAGAGTTCAGGCAGGAGGTCTCACCTTTTCTCATATACCTACATGCATGAATAGCATTTCACTGTATTGTGATTCACCAATCAGAATAGGATTTCAATTGCTTTCAGCTATTTTTGCTGCACTTGCAAAAGTATACACCAGATACTGTCTGTTTTAATGAAAATTTTGTTGACTTGTTCACACCCCCTTGCCCCACTTTCCTGGGATCCCTATGCCCATCCAGGGCAGATGCACCCCGCCCTGCATTATTCTTTGTGTCTGCCCTGCAGAGGCAGGCTGGGTGCCTTGGTTCTCACTGTGAATTCTCACTGAAATTTAACTGACTCATGGTTTTACTAATAAAAAGACATTAGGGTTTTTAATGTTTTTACTGAATCCTTTAAGTGAATCGCCCAATGGGGATGCCAAGGACACTACTCCATCTCCACTGCGTGCTGGAGGTGTGGGGGGTGAACCACGTGGGGGGGAGGAGAAAGGGTGTTTTGGAGGTGTTGCAAAAAATAAAAGCCAACCATTACACAGAAGAGTTGCCCTCATTCAAGTATTAAGGAAGGCTCTGCCATGCATGCCTGGCCCAGTATTTCCACTTGCTGCTTTTTCTTCTCGTCTGTTGGGTTCTGGGGTGGATGGGCAGAGCGGGTGGGGGATGACTGTTGCTTGCAACAAGGTGCTGCAGGATTTGGGATCAGGGTAAAAAAAGCATTCAACCTCCCATAACAGTACACTCTGCAACTCTTTCCAGTAATGCCATCACTCCATAAATGCCCCCAAGCAAAGCATCCCCACACTGAGGCAGATGGTGGGGATGGGGTCATCACATTGTCTCCCAACCCACACATCCCCAAACTGCATGGACAGATTTAATGTAACTCATGGTTTTAGTATTAAAAATAAAAAAAGGGTGAATAAAATCATCATAAGATTGTTAAAAGAGAATGATTCATATGACCTGTCTTTTGTGCAACTACCTTGCATACATGCACAAAGCTGACCCAACATGCCCAAGTATTAGGCTCAGAAGAGTTGCTAATTGCCCTCTTTCCAATGTTAAGGAAGGCTCTCCTATGTCTGCCCCAGTATTTCAGCTTGCCTTTCCAGTAATGTCATTACTCAGATAAACCCACCCAAGCAAGGGATGCCCATGCACATAAGGGTGGGCACTATCATCACCTCTCCCAACTGACTCCTCCCACCCCTGAACTGCAGGGACTGCAATCTGCCTATGAAAGAAAACATGCCACACACACAAATGACATAATTTTAAAATTTTATTTAAAATGAGGTAGAAAAAGGTGGAAAAACCAGTCCTATTTAACGAAAGCAAGTTGCTTCTAACAGGTGGGTGTTGATTCATGCTTTCCTTCTTAATGCTGAAAATTTTCAATTTCAGAACTCCAAAGTGTTCTGCAGGGAGGGGGAGAAAAAAGGAGGGGGTGGGTTTTGAAACAACAAAAATCTACACACCACCTGCAGCCCCACCACCCCCCAAGGTTGGTGGGACATTTATTACCTGTATATCACCAGGGATACTTCATATCCTGGGGGGAGGATCTGGCAGGCAGCATCCACCTGGACTATATGTCATGGTTCTGGAATGGGAATATCAGTTATAAAAAATAGGAAGGTTTGAAATATTGAATTGTTAAGGGGTACCACACTCCATATAGTTGCAAACTTATCATTCTGGTGATGCCGCTTGGCAGTGCTGAATACCGTGATAGGCACAGTAGGCAGGGATCCTGGGTGGCTGGGACACAGGAGCATGGAGTATGGGGAACATATACACTACCCCTGGTGGAAGTAAGGACAAAACTGCCAGGGGGTAGTAAACAGTAACAGAACTTTGCAATATAATGGGTTGCTGCTCCATGTACCTTTATTAATTATTCTGTGCCCCCACACGGTGTGCCCTGGCTGCCTGTGGTCAGCTGTGGGAGCAGGGAGAGGGAGGGATGGATGGGCAGGAAAAAAAACAGAAAAAAAATAGCAGTGGCAGCTACTGGCCACTACAGAAATAGCGCAGTGCTGCCTGGTGGTAATGGAAAGTAATTACAAGTCTTTGAGTCACTGTTGCATGACACGAATCCATAGATAGGGCAGCATAAGCGGCAGCTACACAAAATAAAACATGTCCAAGCAGCATTAGTTTAATGCATCAAAAAGACTTTTAAAGCAGCGGGAAATCCCACTTGTACAAACACAGTTGTGAGTGGTTAAACATGAAAGATTGTGGCATGTACAAATGCCCTTTGATGTATTTTTCCTTGCAACCTTTCTCTGAGGTAGGTCCATGCTATTGACCCCTTTGCACAGGTCCAGATCCTCAATGTGGTTTAGACTTCAGTTAGATGCTTTTTGAGGAAGTGGGCATCAGTCACTTGTTGAGGTAACAGGGAATCTGAGGTGAGCACTAAGTCCTCATCTCCCAAGCTGTACACTAGTTCCCTAAATCTTTAGGCCAGCGACCATCCATCCTCACTTCCAAAAACATCCCTGTCAGAGTGCATGGGATTTGGATAAGATGTCTAAGGGGATAATCAGTGGCAATAACCTTAATAAGTAGTATGGCAAAGGTGAACCACAAAAGACCTTTTCAGAAACTTGTATGACCAGACAGCCACCATATGTTCTTACATCTGCCCCATTGCCTCATTCCCCCTCAGCCCCATTCCTTGCTTTCTTGTCTGCTGTGCAATGTCTAATTTAAGCTTGTAAAGGTAAGGGCTCTGCCTTTTATTGGCTGTAAAGCCTCTAGCATGCTCCAGGCACTGTATGAAAACCAAATAACCTCTGAGTGGATTTCCAATAGGAAACTCAATGGGCCTTGAGGATGGTGGAAGCAACAACTTCCCAGCTGTGCCCCTGAAATCCTGTGACCTGAAAGAGCAGCCCTAGAGGAATCCCAGAATAGGTGCTATACATTTTGGGCACTTTTGCTCTGTGTGGCACTGTGTTTTGCTGCCTGCTGCACCTCCCTTGTAAGGACAGAGTATCAGTATGGACTTCACTTGAGCAAATAACCTCTCCACCACAGCCAGGTGCTCAAAGCTCCTTATTTAGATGGCACTCCACTCAGCTGCCTTAAATTTCAGCAGAAATCAGAACTTGTGGCATAGGTGATATCTTTTATTAGACCAACTAGCTTTTTTGCAAAAAAATATTATTTAATAGCAAACTTTTGGGCACAAGCACCCTTCTTCAAACATAAGAGAAAAGATTGTAAAAGTTCTCCAAGAACAAATGAAAGTTCATATTTCATAGAAGGCTTAAAGGTAGTAAAATCTCCTGTTTGGCAGAGTACATCTTATGTAGGTTAGTTTCAGAGAAAAGTTGGAATAGTCTGTTTACCTCAAAGTTCTTTGGTGGCAAGCAGAATTTAGTCATATTTCCTTCTGGTTCTGATATTTCATATTTCACAGAAGAGAAAAAGGATGGAATGCTCTTCTGGACAGGAATTTCTTATGTGGTGAGGTGTCTCGGGGCTCTGTGGTGATGCAAATTACCTTGAACAAAGGCAGAAGCAGGGGCTCAGGTTTCAGGTGGTAAAACTCCTCCTTGTCAAATTATGAAGATTTCAGTTAAAAAATTGGCTAAAATTCAATATCCTCCATGTGTCAGGTATCCAGGTTGTGTCCATATTGGTCTAGAGGCAAAAGGAATCAGAACTCATGGCAGAGATTATATCTTTTATTAGACCAGCTAGATTTTTGCAAACAAAAAATTTAATTTCAAGCTTTTGGGCACAAGCACGCTTCTTTTTTCTTTACATTTCAGCACATTTTTTACAAGCACCACATCAAGAGTTTAGCTTAATGACTTTTCCATGTCAGTAGCAGAGCTGGACACAGAACCTAGATATCCTGAGTGCCACACCCCTATTCTAAGCAGTGAATACTACTGCCTCTTCTATTTGGGTAAAACTCTGGAACCAACATTGTACTAATTGCTGATTCAATACTAATTGCAACTCTTCTTGGCTTGTAGCTAATATCCCTTTCTAAGCACCTAGATACTGGCACATAAACAAATACAGTAAAAGCCCTGTTATCCAGCATTTTAATAACCGGCATTTCTATATACGGGAATTTCCACGAATACGGAGGAGGGAGGGGGAAGCTCACATGCAGTGGCCACTGCCGCCACCCACCACCCTGCACTGCCACCACTCCACATGCAGCCCCCACCACCCCCTGCTCCACATGCAGCTGCTGCCAGCCCCGCTGCCCTCCACTGCATATCCAGCCAGAAACCCCTGTGCCTCAGATAACCAGCATTTTTAGATTACTGACACCCCCCCCATTCATCCTGGAAAACAGGGCTTTTACTGTACCTGTCTCCAGCCATGCCCCATCTTCTATTTGCCTTTCAGCTTTAAACCAGTGATTACCTGTGATGCCATCTGGGCCAATTTCTAAGACACGTTCCTGGATAATTGTCAACTTGTGAGGACTGGGATTGATTTCAGAGTAAATTATATGTTGCTGCAGCTGGTTGCACTTCCTGTACTCAATGTGTGAATACCAACTGCTAGGCAGTATCCCTTAGGAGTCTGTCACTCAAGAGTTTGACATCAAGCAAAGCTTGAAAGAAAACAGGGTAAGAAGTTGAAAAATGTTAGATGTTGTTTAGGAGGTATTTCTGTTGTTCTAATGGTACACAAAGAGGAAATGCATGTCATGGCAGCAGCTTAACTAGGGTGAGATGAGGGGAGCACCAGCCTGATGCCAGTTTTAGAGGGGCACCAAAATGGTGGCCTCCAAGGAAGCCTGTGACCCGGCAGCCATAGCCTGTACACTAGGCCTAGTGCAAAGTGGCTAGTATTCACTTTGGATTCAGTTTTGGCAGATTTGGGGGACAGTGATTCAGTTCGGTGATTTGAATCACTGTCCCAAATTGATTCAGCTAAATATGACTCAGAGATTCAGCTGCTGCCAAATCTCTGAATCTCCAAATCACACAGGCCCATCCCCTGCCCGCTCTCTCAGCCCCGGCAATGGCTGCCCCACCAGCTCCAGCTTCTGGCACTTCGAAAAAAAAAGACCCAACTTACCAGATGCTGCCAGGTCGGGGGGCAATCCCCGCTGCCCCCCACTGGCCCATGCTGCATGAGGGACTGTGCATGAGCCCCCCTCCCCCCCATGGTTGTCCTGCCTGCCCCAGCTCTGGCCCTTTAAGGAAAAAAATACCCCCCCAAAACCCCAAACTCACCAGCTCCTGCCCAGTGGGGGGGGCCATCTCCACTGCCCCGCACCACCAAATTGGGCCAAATTGCCTCTGAATTGAATCAGCACCTGAAGCTTTGCGCTGCCCTACTGTACATGTAACCTTGTTACTGTATCTGTGTTCTGTGTGACAACCTCTCCATGATGCTTCTCTACATACCTCCATTATGAGACACCATAAGATTGTTGAGAATGCTGTCTCTTATTTGCATATCATCATTCACTGGTATGCATGGGTGGGTGAAGGGAGTGAGAATGCTTTTTACTTGTTTTGACTGTGCTAACATGCTTCTAACTTATTTTTAACAGTTGGAATAAAAGGGACCAGGAAAATCAGGTTTCTATGCATTGGCTCTGCCTTCTAAAATTGTAACATTTATAAGGGTACAGAAGCCACAAGAGAAAATTGGGTAAACATTGCCATGGGGTCAACACTTACTATGAATATTGTGGTGGTTTAAGGTTGTGGTATCATTGACTCAGGAATGCCAGCATAGGTGGAAGGGAAGCTCCAGATAGTTACAATGTCATGGGTAGGGGAGATACCACAAGGTGGTTTTCAGCCCAGGTAGTTTTACTTACCTTGCGGGGAGATACCCTTCTTCTCGGCCTTGAATAATTTGATATAGTTAGAGGGTGAAGGCCTGTCCCTTGCACTGTGGGCAGGCTGACCCCTGACAGTGTCTACAAATGCCTCCAAATGTGAAGATCTCAGGTACACAATTTACATTGACAAGGGATTGCTTTCAGGCTTTCCCTCTAGCCCAGGGGTGGGCAAAACGTGGCCCGTGGGCCGGATGCAGCACGCCAGGCCATTCTATCCAGCCCATGGGGCCCCTAAAAAATTTAGAAAATTAATAATTATATACCCCTGGCTGCCTGTCATGCATCCCTCAATGGCTTGCCAACACTCAGTAAGCGGCCGTCCACCTGAATTAATTGCCTGCCCTGACTCTAGCCTGCTCCTTTGACTTTTTGGCCAGGGGCAAGTGAAACTAGGGGTCATCTGAACTCCAAGACCTCCAGGCTTGGGGTATACACATAGGATATCTGCCATGGATTTGGGAGTATCTGAAGTCCCAGGTTGAAGAGTCTGGAAGGTAAAATACTTGTCAGTGGTAGCACCACACAAAGTCAAACTACTGAGTTCTGCTCAGTCGATAAAATTCAGAACTGATTTGACCCAAGGCACAAAATTTAAGAAAAAACCCAATGGAGATCAGGGTTTTCTGGCATGATTTGTTCTTAGTAAATCCATGCTAGATGCTTGTAATCAGACTTTTCTCCTCCAGATGCTTACAAATGGCATGGGTGACTGGTCCCCCCCCCCCCCCC